TTTTTTTTTTTTTTTTGAGATGGAGTCTCACTCTGTTGCCCAGACAAGAATGCACTGGTGTGATCCCAGCTCACTGCAACCTCTGCCTCTTAGGTTCAAGCGATTTTTCTGCCTCAGTCTCTGGAGCAGCTGGGATTACAGGCACGTGCCACCATGCCCAACTAAATTTTTTATGTTTTTAGCAGAGACAGGGTTTTGTCATGTTGGTCAGGCTGGTCTTGAACTCCTGGCCTCAAGTGACCCGCTCACCTAGACCTCCCAAAGTGCTGGGATTACAGGTGTGAGCCACCGTGCCTGGCCCAATTTAACCTTTCTAAGCCTTGAATGTTCATTTTCCTCATCTGTAAAAGAAGACAATAGCTGCCACCTCACAGGATTTTTAAGAGAATTATACCAGGTGTCAAATACCCAAGTTCCTTCCACAGAGCCTGGCACTCAACTCTAAGGCTTGTTTTCTCCCTTCACTCTGTGAAAGGGGAAAATATAATCATTCCTCAAAATATCCCAAGCTGGTGAGAAAGGGCTTGGTGCCGCCTGGCTCTGAGGTACTCTCTCGAGCCTGTTACTCTAAAGATGAGACGCAACAAGAGCAGGAAGCAAGGCCCTTCTAGGAAACTCATCCTGGGCCAACCACGACTCACCCTCCAGGATCTCCTGGCCCAGGGTTGGGGGCTGGGAGTCATCCGTGCGGAAGTCGGAGGTGTGTGCTGGGCTCAGGGACTCACTCTGCTGGGGGCTGGGGCTTGAGTTGGTGCTGCTATCCACCTTCAGCTGATAGACGTCAGACACGGAACTCTGGTTGCTGTTTTCATCTGAAAACCAAACAGAACAAAGGCAGCAGCTGAGTGTGGTCATTCTCCTCAAGAGGAACTCTGGACAGAGCCAAGGGCCTGGCATCACTTTAGGCAGTCAAGGATACAACTGAGCATAATAATCAGTCTGCCCGGCCTACACGACATAGATTATAAGTACCAGAGGCAGCCAGAATCTTTATGTTTATGCAACATTACACTTCGGGAAGGTCAGGATATGCTTATTAAACACTTCTTTATTATCCACTGATTGCAGCTTGTGGAAGGGAGGGGTGTAGCTGTGTCTCTGGTCAGTACTTCTCAATCCTTCTCACATCACAAGATGTGTAGAAAATGACATTTGTCAGGCACCCTTGGGCATCTGAAGGAGGTTGGTGGTGTCTGAAGGTGGTGAGCTCAGGCTTCAGCTGCCTGACTGCCCCAAGGACTGATAGATTAGCACCTGGGAGTTCTGCCTGAAGGCTTAGTCATCACCAAATTTCAAAACTTAGGAGTTACTAGGCCGAGTGCGGTGGCTCACACCTGTAATCCCAGCACTTTGGGAGGCCAAGGTGGGCTGATCACTTGATGTCAGAAGTTCGAGACCAGCCTGGCCAACATGGTAAAACCCTGTCTCTACTGAAAATACAAAAATTAGCCGGGCATGATGGCACACGCCTGTAATTCCAGCTACTTGGGAGGCTGAGGTGGGAGAATCGCTTGAACCCGGGAGGTGGAGGTTGCAATGAGCTGAGATTGCATCACTGCACTCCAGCCTGAGTGACACAGCAAGACTCCGTCTCAAAAAATAAAAATAATAATAATTTAAAAAAAAAAAAAGAGTCACCAGTGCCTTCCTCTGCTGCACCTACAGCAGTCAGTCACCAAAGTATTTCTGCTCTGGTATCATTTATGCTCATTCCTTCCTCTTCTACTGCTTCAGTTCAAGCCTCCTCATCTCTAGCCTGGCCTCCTGCAACAGCCACCTACCTCACTGCCCTGCCTCCAGTCTCATGTACCTTAAACTGAACTGCAAACCACTGCCAGAGAGACCTTTCTAAACCCTTCGACGCTCCACTGCTGCCTAAGGGAGAAATGTCATACCCAGTATTCTTTTTTTTTTTTGAAACAAAATTTCGCTCTTGTTGCCCAGGCTGGAGTGCAATGGCGCGATCTCGGCCCAACACAACCTCTGCCTCCCGGGTTCAACC